ATGACTACTAAGCGGAACTGGATTGTGAACACGTACTAATAGTGTGATCATACATAAGTGAAGCTAGTGATAATATACGAGTTAATATTACCCCATGAATTGGACATGGCACGAAAGGGGTGTGTTAACTAAAACTGCGGGCAATGGACAAAATGTAACATACTGTGAGTAATGCAACAATAACATAACAAGGGTTATTACCTGGGATTCAGTAACAGTGGAAACCAAATAAATCCTGAGAGGGAGGAAGAGGTCAACGCTGAACTTGACTCTTCCTGATCCAAAGCATGGACCGAATCCCGATGAAGATGAATCATCATAGCAGCAGTGTATGAAAGTAAAAAGTTGGACACGTATAAGTGGTTGTATAAAAATGGTTCCACTCGTTTATCATTAAATTTATATATAAACTTAAGCCTTTAGACTTCCTTAGTTAAACTTTAGTGGTTTTAATTGTATTATACAGACCACTAGCGGATTAAGGGGTGTGTAGCCTCCCTCCTTTTCCATAATTCGGCGCCCCTTTTAACAATAAATAATTTCAAGAAAGATTTTATTTCCTGCCTCTCCTAGCTACAGGCCAACAATTTATATTATATTTAAGTTTGATGTATAATCTAGCTGCATTGATATAAATGATGTGTGCTGAAATTATATGGCACCCATCCAGGCGATCGCACCCTCCATTTCCAAAATCCTAGATCTGCTACATATATTACTGTAGTAAAACTGGCGATTCCTGATTATTTATTTATTTATTAGTGAAATTAAGTTAAACATGAAATACTGTAGATCCTATAGTAGATAGTAGGCGACATTGTTTGGTTACGACCTCATCGACCCTCTCATTGTTAATCGAATTAAGAGATCTTCTCCGGTCTCACGTTGTTATGCTACTAACTTGGATTCCTGGAGTTAAGCTCTCTCCCCGCCCTCTAGTGGCTCAGCGGCAAGTCTAAAGACCTATAATACTAAAAACCGAGTTTTGATACTCGTGGTGGACACAGTCCAGATAGTCCATTAGTTAAAGTACGCTTAACAACAAAAAATTATTTAAAATGTGTTTCTCATTAAAACTTTAATAACTAATTTTTTTAAAAAAGGATATCAAACGTTTTCTACACAGCTATATACTGTTACGACAGCAGAAGTCACGCGACGCTGGGAGCATGCGCGCTGGAGTTTCTAGAAGGATCATGAATTATTGAGGAACTCCGCGAATGTCCTAGTGTTTGTCAGACGCCCTCTTTTTTAATATGTAAGCCTGGCGAGAAAAACCAGCGCGAGGTCAGAGATAGATAGATCGGAGATATAGATAATTGAGTCAAGCGAACAGTAGGCAACATAAACAAAATATATGAAT